CAGGAATGGGGTACATTGATCACACCCTGTACCCTGACCTGGACAGACCTCAGAGGCTCAGAAAGGGGGCAGTAACAGGACAGACTGCAGTGTCCACACCCTGTACCCTGATCTGGACAGATCTCAAGTTACCCAAGACAGGCCCTGGTCAGTACTGGGGTGAAAATGGTCTGAGTGGAGCAGTAGATGACGATCTACTCCCTCTGAAGAGTGTGTGAGAGTCCCTGGTTTAACCAGTGCTGCTCTGTCACTGGGCTACTGTCTAAACCTGCACCATCTGCTGCTCCAGCCAGAGGGCGCCAGCGAGTGGGTGTGCCTCTGTTTACTCGCGGACAGGCAGAGTTCACACACACAGGATTACACAATCACTGCACTTTAAGGGTTATCAGAATCACGCAGTACAAACACACACGCAAACAGCAGAAACACAAACACACAGACACAGCAGATAAACACACAGAAGATACATACTGCAGACTCATAACAGACAGACAAACACGTACATACAACAGATACACACACATAAACGTTACGCATACACACACAGCAGTTACAGAAAACACGCTGTAGACACACAGAGACGCACACAGCAGATACACACACAGGAGATACACACAGCAGGTACACAGTTACACACACAGCAGGTACACAGTTATAAACACACAACAGATACACAGTTACGCACACAGCGGGTATACAGTTACACACACAGCAGATACACAGCTACACACAGACCCCTGTCCTCTTTCTTGGGGGTGACCATGTCTTCCCTGGGGGGGGGTAAGAGGGGGTGAGGGGGACCCAGATTTCACATTGTGAGGTCTGTTGCTGCCTCTCTGTAGTCACTCTCCTTCCCCCTCTCTCATCCTTTCCTGCTCCCCGCCCAGCCCCCCTGTTCCTGGGGATGTTAAGGATCGAGTCCTGAGTGTCCCGGAGTGTCCCGGGCCGACAGAACTGGGCTATTTCTGGCCCGGCAGCAGCACGGTGCCCCTGCCCTGTTTTTAGCGGGTTTTAGCACGAGGGTTGAGCTGCGGTTTATTTCGGGTGCAGAATGAGCTCCCCTCCCACTATATTTAGCTCCAAATCCCGACGATCTCCGCCTGTATCCGAGCAGATGGGGTCGGGCCTGTTTTTGCTCTGGGATGGGGAGGGAGGGGCGCGGCAGAGAGGCTTCGGAGCCGAGATTGGAAGTCAGTGGGCCGCCGGCAGGCAGTAATCTGTGCACATCTGGACACAGCTGGCCCAGGCTGTTACACAACTTCCCAGGATTAAAGCGCTCTCGCAGAAATAGAAACTCGCTGATCCCGGCAGAGTATTTGGGGAAAATATTCCAATATTAGAAAGAAAAATCCTTCAAAAGGAGATCAGAA